TACCTGATGAAATGAGGGCTCAATTAATTAAACTTGCCCGATTTTCTGCACCTGCGGTTAAGGTAGCACTTCTGCGGACGCGCACATGCATTAATTTTCCGCAGGTGCGGTTACACCAGGGTTCAGCAGTCCAATTTCGGGGAGCTACTGCTTTGGGTTGTTCCAACATCCCAAACTCCTTAATTCAACTCCAAAAAATCTGAAACTTGGCTGATTAGTCAAAAATAATATTCTAAGCTATTCTAAACAAAAAAAAATTCAAAAATGACAAAAAAAGAAATTGAAAACGATGGGTTGCCTCCCACCAAGCGCCGCATTTAACATCGTGGCATGACATGGATCAACTTTACCACTTTTCTCACTATTTGGACGATATGAACTGGGCACCTAACTTGGAATCAAGCTTGTGACCACGAGCAGTGGGGGGTTGGTAAGTTGATGATCAAGCCAAACTTCAATTTCTTCATTTTGCATTTCTTGACTTTCATATAAGGGATGTCATTTTGCCTTCTTGTTCCCTCAAATCGTAAGATGTATGGAATTTGTCTTTCCTCCTCGCAATCCTCATTGACTCGAGTAGTTCAATTCCAATATCACCACAATGTTGAAAAATGTTTGGAATGTGACATCAAACCTTCAAATTGCAATTCTTCCCTGATTTTAACATCCTCATTTTTCCCCGGACTAGATTCAGTCTCAACCAAATTTTTATTTACACCTGCTGACTCTAAATCCATATTTTTTTGGCATCACTAACAAGCATGGAGTCGGTTGGCAGATGTCCAATTCTTGATTCCTCAAAATAAAGCTCGCTTTCTTCCTTGAAATCAGACTTTTCTTGACTTCTTTCCACACTCTCAAGTTGGTGGGCATAATGAGTCTCAACCGATATTTTCATTTGACCTTCCAAGATGCGGATGTTCTCATCATTTTGAGTAAAGACTTGCTTCAAGTCCTTGAGTGCAAAGTTATGTTTCTCCTCATTTTCAAAAATGGCTTCCAACATGAGCATCATTTTCTCATTTTGAGCATTTGAGAGTTCTTCTTGGTTTTGGTCAAGTGCCAAGGAAGGATTTTAGGCTTCCAGATATAAGGAAGGTTCTTGGCTATCATTTACTTCCAAGGCTTCTTGGACCTCTAAAGCTTCAAGCATTTCTTCCATTTGTGAATGCAACCTTTCAAGCGCCAAGTCATTTTGGAGACTATTTTCCAAAAGCTCCTCCAAGGCACTTTGCCCTTTGTTTCCTCCTTCAATTAGGCATTCTAATATGAGCTTGAACTCTCCATTTTGACCATGCTCAATTTCTTCCAACTCCATATCCTTATAAATTTCATCACAAAAAGTAGAATCATCATAGCGGGGGCTTGGGGAAGGGAAGGACAAATAAGCACAATACTCTCAATGACCATTTTGATGACCACACTTATCACAAATACTCCACTCATGGGTTTGAGATTGTGCGTACAATCCGCCCCCAGCAGAATTTAAATAATTTTGCCACGAATGTGGTCCTCCACAATAAGGAAAAGGGTCATCAAAGTATGAACAACTACCATCTGACCAGTTTTCATTATATGATACCATTTTTTTCAAAAACTAAGAAAACAAACAAGAAAAATAGACCAAGGTAAAAAAGTTAATAACACAAATATTCACAAGTTTGGACCAAAGCACTTACGCACATTTCTCAAACAACCTAAATTATGCCACATTGTTCCCCGGCAACGACGCCAATTTTGATGACGTCCAAATCCACTACCATAAAGTAAATGGACACAGTCGCATGCAATATAACTTACCCAACTATGAGTCAGGGTCGAATCCCATAGAGAATAATATGTAGGCGATTAGGAATGTAAGAGAATTATCACTAGTTATGCAATGCCAAACACTTAGAATTGGTTTTTGAAAATATTTATAACTAAATGCAAAAATGCAAATTAACCTAGAAAGGAAGTAAAATGATCAATGGCTACAATATGGATACACGGGGAATTACACTCAAGCAAAGATCCAATGTATTTCACGATTTTACAAATATGAGCGAGTTTATGTTAATTAGTCAGGGGTAATAATTCTATATTAGCTTCTTGCAAAGACTAAAAAGACTTCCTAATTGAATTATCTCTAATCAATTACGAGATTAAGCACACCCTGATATGGCTACAAATAGTTCAATCCTATCCCTAGGTAGAATCTATAAAATGAGGGTTAAAGTCTCAAGTGCTTGTTAATTAATCTTTTCCAACCCCAAATAATCTTTCCCAAAATTAATTCGAAGTTAATGGGCGAGTCCTAGGGTTAGCTAATCCCTTGGGAAACATTAAAGAACAAGAATAATTAAAGGAAAAAATAACTCACTTCATAAAAGATCAAAAATCATTCAATACATAAGCACAACAAGATATTTAATTCACGCTTTAATTATGAATATTTCCATAAACAAGATTCAAATGTTGGAATAAATGCGACACACTTAGATATTCAACACAAAGCAAGGAAATGAAGAAATGAGTAAGAAATTTTTAACAAAAATCTTAAAATCTTCAAAACCCAAGTGTATGTGCAAAACTCCTAGCTTCCAAACTTATTCTCTCTAGTCTTAGGGACTGAAAATAAGCCAAAGATATGTTTCCAATAAGCTAGGTCATGTATTTGTGGGTTTGGATTGGAGAAAGTGTGATTTTCCAAAATTACGCAGACCTGAAGCCCGTTGACCGCACATGCGAAACAATCCTCGTAGGTGTGGCTCCGCAAAAGCGGACTACCAATCACAAGTGCGAGGCCAGTGTAAAATTCCCGTCTTCGCAGATGTGGACCTATACTCGCAGCTGCGTGACCACAGGAGCAGATGATTGACCGGAGATGCGGTACCAGTGCCTTGTAGCCAATTCTCGCAGATGCGGCCTCTCCTTTCGCAGATGCGATAAAGCAGATGCGTACAATATTCCGCAGGTGCGGAATCACTGAAGGATTTTGTAATTTTGTTACTCTTTTTGCTCAATTCCGCTTCAATTGACTTCAACTCTTTCCATGGTATCATTTACCTGAAAATCTATCAATGAATACCATAAATCACCTCATTTTATAATTAAAGGACACAAAAACTAAAGAAAAGAGACTAAAATGAGTGGTAAAATCACCACTCATCATACCTCGAGAGCGCCCCTATTGCATATTTACATTTGGGACTACGAGGCGGTACCTCGAGAGCGCCCCTGTTGCACATTTACTTTTGGGGCTACGAGATAGTATCTTGGAGCGCCCCTGTTGTTTACCTCTTTCTACCGTGCGATTGTTATTGTGTTGCACGAGGCTTCTTTTGTGCTATTGTTAGTATTGATATATGCACATGCTGCGTGACAAAGCGAGCTATATATATGGGTTTGCTCATGTGGCAAGACAAGGTGGGAATGTTATTATACACGTGTGACTAGACAAGAACAAAGAAAGTATGAAAGAAACTGAAGAATGACTATCTCAATTAATTGATTCAAACACATCAAATATATTGGTATTTATACACAAGAGAAATAAGAGATGAAAGGAAGTAAAATATCCTCTACTAAATGTAAATCCTACAATATATTCCTCCTATATTCAACAACTAATGCTACACAATATTCTACACTAAATGCAGAATATCGCTAATAATATCCCATATATTCACCATATCGAGAATATAATAATGAAGATACTCTGCAATCATGTCCATTATGCTAACAAACACTGTTTGTTTTTTAAACATATGAATATACACACACACACACACACACACACACACACACACACACACATATATATATATATATATATATATATATATATATATATATATATATATATGTACTTACGCTATATTATGCACTAAGTATAAGTGTATTAGGTAATACCGTATCGAATATAGCTCATATATATATANTATATATATATATTAGTATTATAGTCGGTGGAGGTGATGACTAACGAAGATGCTTGTGAGTGTCGACTAGAGGCGGTGGTTGGTGGTAATTTTGGTTAATGGTGATGGTTCTGGGTAGTAGCTAGTGGTAATTGGTAGCGATAACGATTATAATTGAGGATGATAGTGGGTGGTGATAATTAATAATGGTTGGTAATGATGGTAATTGAGGTTGTAATTGATGAAGGTGATGGTGGGTGGTAGTAGTTTATAATGGTGGGCAGTGTCGGCTAAGGTATTGAAGGTGATAGGGTGATTGGTTGTGATTGTTGAGGTAGGTGAGTGTGTAGTTATGGTTGAGGATGATGGTGGTGGGGGTGGTGGGTGGGGGTAGTGGTGGCGGCTCTGGTTGAGGGTGGTGCGGAGTGTGTGGTTATGGTTGAGGATGATAATGGTGGGGGTGGTGGGGGTGGCGGCGGCTCTGGTTGAGGATGGTTTGGCGACAACTAGTAATGGATGTATATGATAGCATCTTAATGAAATTAAGTCTTTATTATAGATCTTAATCATACAGACTTATTCAGACCCATTAAGTGATTGTTAAGTAAAAAAAATACTCTTAATGATTAAGATTAGACTTTAAAAACATAACGCACTTAGTGTCTAAAATTTGGATGATTAAGATTAGACCTCCATCAAGTGCATACAAATGAAGCCTAATAAAAGATTCCTAAATTAAACAGCTCCAGAGATGTTCTTCTTTGTCTACCAAACTAAGCAACTAACCAAACTAACAAGTTGCAAGAGAGTTTAAGCCAACAAAAATATTTTCCAAGCCTTTAATATTTTGCTAGCTAGGGTGAGGGATATTTGAACAGAGATTTAAAAACGATATTCATTTTGAAAATGAAACACATTTTTTCTTTTAATCTAATGCCCACAATACATACTTAAATTGAGACGTCAACCAAAAGGACAAAAATATTTGTTAACTTAATGTATTACCGTAAACTCCTTAACTTGTAACTAAGAGTAACACAATCAGGCAGAATTTTACTATCGAAACTTGTCTTACCAATTTAGTATAACACCACTTCAACACCAAGAAAACCAAGAATCCACGATTAGCTCAAAATATTGAATTTTACATGCTTGAGATTCAGAGAGTAGGGTTTTAACACAAAGAAATGGATTGAGTGGGACAAAAATTCAGATACAACTCAGGAAATGAACTGACATGTAAAACCAGAACGTCATAACTTCATAATATATCCAAATCCATTTTTAGGTGGCTTTTTACAGCTTAGTTTTCCAACAAGCATCACCAAAATAACCAGAAGAACAGAAAAGCCCCTGCTAATCATCTTTAATAATAATAAACTCAACCGCGAACAAGGCTTCGAACAGCAACCTCGACGGTGCAACTAGACTTTAAACTCAACTCCCCGCTTTCCTCTTAGTCCCTCGCTCCCTCCTTGCTCCATCTAACAAGTTGGACAATTCTACAGAGACATTCTTCATACCTGTGCGTGCATCTGGATCCCTTTCCAGACATTTCGCTGCTATAGTCGTGATGCTATTAGCCAACAGCTCATCATCATCATCATTATCTTGGAGAAGTGATTTATCCACTATCGACTTTTTTCCACCTTGGAGCTGCTCCTGAATCCAGCAGTAGTGTGGAGTGGGAATCTTTTTGATTTTGGCAAACAACTCCACAAGTAGAACACCAAACATGTATACATCAGCTTTTAAAGGCTGAACACCACCTTCATGGATCAGAAGCCATAGTAATGTAAAGTCAGGTACTTATTAAACAATAAAAAAGAACGATTTAACACATAAAAATCATATCAACGGTCAGATGATCTCAACTCAAGATTTAGCATATATTTAAGGTAATTTTAACACTCTTGATACCACAACATGAATGAATAACAGTTATTTGTACATCCCATCACTGAGGCAATTGAATAGAGATAGACACTGATGATTCAAAGAGTTTCCACCTGCGAGTTTGACGGAAACCTGAACACAGATTAATATGGCCAAGATAATGGAAATAAGTGGCCCTAGTATAGGTAGGACCTCTCTTGACTGGGACTCTTATATCACCTCTTGGACCAGTCATGAAAACCACTCTCAATCTCCTAATGCTTCAGGAAGAGAGGGAAACACTGTCGTGAGTACGTTGTCATGCGCCTCAGCAAACAGTCAGAAGCTTATCCATGAAAACTGACAACAGAAGACAGCAAACGAATGGTCGCAATCAGGGGTATATGCGCTGGTCCAGGTGGCGTGTGTGGTGACTTTAATATCAAAAGGTTTGCTGCAGAGAGAAGGAACAACAACAGAGTAACAATATCGATGCTAGAATTCTCTGATTATCCAGAGAACAACAACAAAAACATCCCAGTGAATTCTCACAACTGAGGTCTGGGGAGGGCAGGATGTACGCAACCTTACCCCTACCCTGGAAGGGCAGAGAGGCTGTTTCCGGAAGATCCTCGGCTAAAGAGAAATGTAAGAAGCACCAATAGAAAGTAATAACAATACAAGATATTTAGAAGAACTAAATCCAAGATAACAAAGGGGAAGATGAAAGAAGTACTTATCACAAGTAAGAACAGTGCTAAGATATATAATGATATCAAACTAAAGGGATACTAATGGCAAGTACTGACAATACAAGATATGTGGAAATAGCAAACTAAGGGTAAAAAGGATACCATACTAACACTAATACTATTGAACTAACAAAGACAAAGGAAACGCTCAACTACATACTAACTTTCTACCCTAATTCTCAACCTCCACACCCTCCTGTCAAGGGTAATGTACTCAGTAAGATCAAGCTGCACCATTTCCCGCCTGATCACCTATCTCCAAGACTTTTTTCGGCCTACCTCTAGCCTTCCTCTTACCCCCCAAGGCCAACCTCTCACACCTCCTGACCAGGGCATCTGTGTTTCTCCTCTTTAACATGCCCGAACCATTTCAGTCTCGCCTCTCGCATCTTTTCCTCCATAGGGGCCACTCTCACCTTGTCCCTAATAACTTCAATCATAATTCTATCTAACCTCGCGTGTCACACATCCATCTCAACATCCTTATCTCCGCTACTTTCATCTGCTGGACATGGGAGTTCTTAACTGGCCAGCACTCTGTCCTATACAACATAGTCGGTCTAACCACTACCTTGTAGAACTTCCCTTTAAGTCTCAACGGCACATTCCAGAGAACCTGAAACTAATTTCCCATTCACACACACACACACACAAAAAAAAAAAACCTTCTTAGTTGAATGCAACTATCACTTGAGCCAAAGGAGATATCTCTAATATCACCTTCAGAATTGACAGATTCCTATTCGTCGCCTCTGACAACTCAACCATATTATTGCAATATAAAGAAATCACACCTACTTCAAATTTAAGAACATGTGAACAAAGGATTTCATCAACATTATGAGTAATTGTGGTACATGAAAGTCCAGATTTCACCCAAGCTAAAAATTAAAGATGTGAAAGGATAAATTAAAGGATGAAATAACACTTCCTTTGGTTTTCTGGGGAACAGAAAGTCTCGGAAAATTGTGATAGAATGCTTGGAGAAGGAACCTAAGCGGAAGATCTCGAATCACGGAAAATTTACAAATGAAACTGAAAGACACTATGAATAAGTACCCAGGAGCCAAAAGTAAAAGTCTGGATGCTT